TATAAATTATACAATTGGTATATAAAATTAGTGAGAAGCTGTTCTAGATTGATGTGATTTCAATTAAGTTCTATGAGAACATTGGTTGTAATATGCTTATGCACAACAGTTAATCTAATGTGCTTCTATGCTGTTGCGTAGGAATTTGTCATGCTCTGCGTTGTCATTAGCTGTGTCAGTGTTTTATGACTGCACGTTTAGGATTTCAAGCATCCATCTTATGGGTGGTTTACAATTGTTGTTTACTTCATTTTAAAATTGACATGTAAAGAACTGTGCAGGTACGCTTGATCGGATATTGTGTTAAGAAGAATTGTCTTTTCCTTGTGTATGAATATATTGACAATGGGAACTTAAGCGAGCACTTACGTGATCCAGGTGAGAAAAGCATTTCACCATTATCTATTTCAGTTATGCACATTGATTTGATTATTATATTAATTTATCTAGACACATTTCCTAAAAATTACAAGTCTAAGAATAAATCATATTATTTATAGCTTGTAAATAGTACGGCTTGCAATATATTTTAAGTTTTATATTAATGATCAAGTCATTTTTTGATAGGGAGAGAACCCTTGCCATGGTCACTACGAGTGCGAATTGCTCTGGATTCAGCCAGAGGTCTTGAATACATTCATGAGCATACAGTGCCTGTATATATTCATCGTGACATAAAGCCAGCTAATATATTGATAGACCGAAACTTCCGTGCAAAGGTTGAATTTTTGTCCAATATCTGTAGAACCCATCTCTATTTTTCAGTTTTTGGAATGACTTGTAAGTTCTTGATTATTCATCTTTTCAGGTTGCAGATTTCGGGTTAACCAAGCTCATTGAAGTGGGAAGTTCATCACATCTCTCTGGAGGGCTTGCAGGCACATTCGGTTATATACCACTCCAGTATGGCAACTTCTTTTTTCCCCTTTCAGGCTGCATCTAACTCATAGAAGTTAAGAATTGCAGTGAAGTGTGGAGTACCTGAGGCCATCCTGTAGATTTAATACAAATTTATTATGAGCAACCCTCTTTTCCCTTTTCAAATTGATTAATTTTGCCACATAACAAACATTTGCTCCACATATCTATCATAGCAAACACTGTGGACCACTTATTTGTATCTTCTGTTAAGGCAAGTGTCTTAGGTGTTAGAAATTGCTTCTTCTTCTTCTTCTCTCTCTCTCTCTCTCTCTCTCTGAGCCAACGTTGGAAATTGCTTCTATCTATTCTCTCTTTCACTGCTTTACTTATTTCATTAATATAATTGGATGTGAATATGGAGAAAGTTTTCCTTGTTATGGAACTCCTTGCTTTACTTGAAATGTTTATAGGGAGAAGTTTTCTGATTAATAGGTGCACTTTCTTAGCATACATTCAAGTAAGAAAGGAAAAATAAGTTCTCTTTTGTTTCCATAGGAATGATGGTACTGTTAAAACCGATGTCTATGCTTTCGGAGTTGTTCTCTACAACTTATATCTGCTCAAGCAGCTGTGCTTAGTGTCGATGAAGCTGGTTCTGAAGCAAGAACCCTTGTCTCTTTGGTGATTCTTGACTTCTCCATTATAAATTTATTTAGTCTTGATTTTCTAAATACAAATCTAGCATTTTAATCGAATTATTAAGGGTTATATTTGCCTTGGTTGCTACAGTTTGAAGAAGCTCTTGAGCAGCCTAATCCTGAAGAACATATTCTAAAGCTTGTTGATCCTAGGCTTGAAGATCAATATACATTCGATTCAGTTTACAAGGTGAGTATATAATGAACTGCTTAAACATTTGAGTTTGGAAAATATCTGTGGGTTACTTGCCAGCATTTTTAGACCAATAACTTGATAGCAAATACTTCTTCTGGTCCTAACTATACAAGCTGGTTGAGGGATTTATTTTAATTTTAAATGTAAAATTCTATTTCATTTTGCCTCCAAAATTTATGATCCCCTTAATTTTTCCTATTGATTGCACATATTAAACAAAGTTTAATACATACTCTTTACAAATAATTAGATTAACTAAATTCTTCAATTTTAATAAAGTACTCTTCCGATTCTTAATATAAGACCATTTAACTAATTTCAGTAGATTAAGAAAGTTAGGTAAATTAGTTAATTATAAGAAAAATGCTACATTTTTTCTAAAACACCATAATCATCTTTCTTAATACCCCTCTCTCTCTCCTATTTGATTATGATTGAGGGAGTATCCATAGGAATAATTTAGAAAAAATTGATAAATATGAGAAATTAGTCTTATATTTAGGATCAAAACTAACTTAAGAATTAGGCCCTATATTAAGGACTGGAGGAGTAGTTATTTAGTTCCTACACTTAAGATTGGAAGGAACATGTAAAAACTCAGAAAACCAAGATAATTTTGTCAAAAAAGTGAAGGAATACAGGGTACTTTGTGAGTTTTTAAGCCCATACAGTGGTGAACATCATCTACTGCTATACGAAGTGAAATTGACGCTATTTAAAACTTACTGCAAATCACAATGCAGAAATTCTCTACAAAGCAATTGCATATGATAAAGCCCCACACAAGCTGGCCTTACCTATGTGCGCGGTGGTCGTCTATTGCACAGCACTGTTGACTGTTTTGCACATTGTTCCTGCAACAGATAAATAGTTCTCCAAATGACATGATATGATAACAACTATTAGGTCAAAATTCATAGATACTGCATTCTAGTCATGTGTATTATAGCTATTCTTGATCAAAATCTTCTTGCTATGCGCAATCAACATGGACATATATAGAGGAAAAAAAATATAAATTTGAAAGATAGCGGGTTAGGATTGAGGTTTCATATTTAGAACTAAAGTAAACCTTTTATTTAGCTTTTATATTTATGATAGGAGGAAGTGGTATTTTTTGACGTAGTGAGTATTTGGATTGGCTTATTTTAAGTGATTTTTGGATGTTATAATCTGTGTAGAATTCAAATCTATTGATGAATCTAACCACTTGAAATGCCTATCATGGGACTTGCAGATGGTCCAACTAGCCAAGGCATGCACAGAGAAAAAACCAGACCGACGTCCAAGAATGAGATCTGTTGTGGTGGCTCTAATGACACTCACTAATTCTGTGGAATGGGATGTTGCCTCCTTGTATGAAAATCCGACACTCAAATATGATGCAGTGGAAACATAGAGCACAAGTGAATATACCTCCAATCTTTAATATAAGACTTGTTTAATTAATTTGATTAGATTACGGAAATTAGGTAAGTTAGTTAATTATAAGAAATATGTCATATTGTTTTTAAAATACCATAATCATTTTTATTAATATTCTCTCTTCTTCTTTTATTTGATTATGGTCGAGAGAGTATCAATAGAGATAATTTAGAAAAAATTAATAAATATGAGAAATATGTTTTAAATACAATTAGGTCATATATTAAGAATCGGAGGAATAATATTTAAATTAAGTAACATTCATGTTATTTTGGATCTCCTTTGATCTTAAATCTATAATAATATTAATGTTAATAATTTCATACAAATGAAATTTTTTACAAATATTGTTATTTAACTAATATACTAGCTAGAAACTTAGTAAAGAAAAAGGAAGGCAAAAATGCACTTTAGTTTTCAATTTGATCTCTTAATTTTTTTCAAGTGTCTTTTTACTCTTTAGTCATTTGATATTAACACTATTAGTCTTATTTAACAGAAAAAAAATGTCAATATTATAATGTTAAGTGTTGATAAAGCATTCTAAATATTAACATATTAAGTTCAATTTATTAAGATAAAAATGACTGAATTAAAATATTATCATATCAATTGGAAACTTTTTGTTAGCATCTAAAATTGCAGTGTTGAAAACTTTTGTTATCGAATTTAATAGTTTAAGGATAAAAGACTTAAAAGGTCGTATAAAAGTAAAAGATCACATCAAAACATTGCGTAGATAGTGACTGACTTTCATTAAGAAAACTTTAATCAGTGTAAACTTAAGTGTTGTCTTTTTTTTTTTTTTGGTTATATTACGAGACATTGACCCCATATATAAATAGTGTTAGAGAAAATTGATGAAAATTATTCATGGCAAAATTTATTGTCTAAAGAATCCTAGTCTTTGAGTTGGTGCAATTTATCTTGTGCAATATGTTTTCATATGTATCAAAATATTTTCCATTTTGCAACTGGACATAATCATTAACAAGGAGACTCTTGAGCACTTTTTTTTGACATCTTTATTATTAATAAAATTGTTAGTCGTTTTTCAAAAATGTATATTTTAAATTATTTGAACTACTTTTTTTCTTTTCGCTGTACATGTTTAATGAGGTCGATGCATAATTCACTTCAAAATTGTGTCTTGAGTTTGATAATTTTAGAGAAGTTGAAGGGAAAAAGTTTTTTTTAAAAAAAGATAAGGAAAAAAAAAAAGCTCTAGTGTTTGAAAGATTTTTGGGAGAATTGTAATTAGGTCTCACCTCGAATTAAATACAAAAGAGTCATTTAAAATTATGAAATTATTCTGAAGTCCCAAGAGATCTTATTGCAATAAATTTTATTTGTTTATTATATTTTTTGATTAAAAAATATAATACATGAATTGTCAATACCTGCCGCGATAGTTATCAATTCCGACACTTTAAGTTGTTAAAGCAAACTAAAAAAAAAGACAATTTTGTCAATGTATTAAACAAATAAAATTTATTATAATAAAGTTTCTTAAGACTTAAGAATAATTTTATCATTTTAAAAGATTTTTTTGTATTTAATTTCCGTACGTAGGATCTAATTACAATTTCCTAAGATTTTTCACCACTCCGTCAAGAACGCAACCTAAGCTGCTTTCAGCGGGCTAACTGGTAAAATCCAAACTTTGACTTTGGTTGCCAGTCTTCAATTTTGCTGCCGTCTCTCCCCAAGCAGTCCGGAGGAAAATACGCGGGAAACTTTTCCTCATCAATTGACTTGTCTTCAATGATTAACATTCACATCAAATACAAATCCTCCATCATTTCGTTCGTTAATTTTAATCCCACTGGGAAACATTCTGTACATTGCCATTATATAATCCAAAATTTTAAGCTTCTTTCTCCCTGCTTATTCATTCAGCACACTCATATTTCCATTTCTCTGCTTTTTCAGCAATCCCATATAGAAAATGATAACCAGATTTGGGTTTCCACTCCTTTTGTTGTTGTTATTTTCCCTTTGTTTCAACGCAGAATCGAAGTGCAAGAAACGATGCAACTTGGCTTTAGCCTCCTACTATATTTCAGACCAATTAGACAATCTTACCCAACTTTCGAAGATTATGCAATCCCGGGTTCTTGAAAGGGCTGAGGATATCGTCAGCTATAACACAGGCATACTAACTAGCCAAGACTACATCCCAAGGAACATTCGAGTGAACGTTCCGTTCCCTTGCGATTGCATCGATGGGGCAGATCCAGGTTACGTATTTAAGTACCCAATGCAGAAAGAAGACACCTATACGAAGATTGCGAATCAGACCTACTCCAATTTGACCACAGCTTCGGAGTTGCAGAGCCGCAATGGCTATTCGCCGAACAATATTCCTGATTCTGTTACGCTCGATGTGGCGGTGAACTGTTACTGTGGGGATAGCCACGTTTCGAAACAGTATGGTTTGTTTATCACTTACCCACTCAGAGCTGAGGATTCGCTGGAATCAATTGCGAACCAGACGAAGATTGATCAGGAGTTGCTGCGGAAGTATAATCCTGGTGCTGATTTCAACAAGGGAAGTGGTCTGGTGTTTATACCAGGAAAAGGTACACTAATTTATGTTATAATGATAAATTAATTTACTTGTTCTTTCAAGTCTTATAATTTAATTATAAACTATGATTGAATTTGATCGTCATTTTAGAGTAACTTTTCTGTCAAGTGTCAGCATATCTAAATATATATGACCATAAACCTCAGTATAATAAATTCTTCTCACGGTTTGGTCTTCTTTTACGATTTTGTATCTTTTGTAAAAAGGCCATCTTATTGGCATTGGAGCTGGTAATTTTACATTGGATCCCGTGGATTATACAAGTGAGGCTGGGTTTTGGCTTTCTGCTTTGTAAAATTGAGCTCCGATGTCTACGATGCATATATTATCTCTCTTATAATGTCCCACATCTCTGGCTTCGGTTTTGTCTGCTACACGGCTGCGCCACCCATCTGGATCATTTAGATTTTTTCATTTCTATTTTATTGCATTTGTATTATGATTTTTCTGTTTTCTTTTTCCCCCCCTTTTTGGAGTTGACAATTAAAAGATTATTTATACTCCATTTCGCATATTTTAAAGTTTTTTTAAAAAATGAAGTATAAAGAAATTGTTTAATGAATCTGGACTGTCCAGTCCCCATTAGTTCTTATTCTATGTAAAGGAGGTGGGGGTTGTTCTATTTTGATAGTGTGATAGTATCCTGTGCTTCGTACGGATTATTAGCGAAATTCAATGGCCCTTCGATGACATTTAATAGAACTCCCGAGCGTTTCTACAGAGGCCCTTGTTATAAGCCAGGACAATCCATCTTGATATTTGACTGACATAAACCTTAAACTGTTTTCTTCTAATGACTGATGAAGTAACTATATAAAGATGTCATATGAGGGAGAGTATTATGAAGTGATTTTGATCCTTGCAGAGAATGCAGCTCCTTATTCTAGTGGCTGTTGAGTTATGCAATAGTTTATTGTTGGGTAATCTGGTAAATTATGAGCTGGTATTTTTTGGCTGTTTCTGTTTTTTTTTTCCCCGGGTGAAATGTTGTTGTTCTTTTTACTCTTTCATAAATATATATATTATTGATTCATAGAAATTTGCATTAACTTGCAAGCTTCTTTAAATACTGATTGTCTCTAATCTGCCAAAGTTTGATTCCTTAATTTGAATTTTTGTAAAATGTACATATTGAGCACATTTGGATCCTAATTTCATTGCCCTTTTATGCCATGTCGAAGGAATACTTTCGAGTAATAACGTAACCGAAAAAAAGGATGATTGCAAACCAAACTGACCATATGGTATCATATTTTAGCAGGAGACTGAATGTTATACCCGCCACAGCATTCTAAACAATCTAGAGCAACTTACAAGGACTTTAGGACAATCGATACTGAGTCATAGGATGAAGCCATTATTTTGCTAATTCTTTATCCACATTAGATAACATTCTTAAGCGTAGTAATCATTTTTCTTTCAAAATTAATTCTACTTTTGGTTTTAGTGTTTGTGATTTCACTGTTGACTAATGTGAATCATGGAAGAAAGATAAGAAAGGGATAACAACCATTTCTGATCATTTGCAATCTAAAAAAGTCACAAGGTAAGACAAGCATTCAGATCCATGTTTAGCTAACAAGTATCATGTTTTCAAATTTTTTGACTCGTTTATGAGATACTAAAATATTTCTAGACATGCCTCACATATTTTATACTTTTAACTTTTCAGGCCAAAATGACGTTAATGTGCCAATGGCCCCAAGGTAACTTGCCTACTTTGTGTACGATTTGTACATGAAGATGCATAGGTTTTTTCTTTTCTCTAGTAATATTTTTGAGTAAATTAAATTTCTCCTCTATTTTCAAAACATACATGCACTTCTCTCGAAACAAAGTTGCGCCACATTCTAGTCCAATTTTTGAAATTTTTTACTCTAGCACCCCTCTATAACCTATTTGCATTTTTTTGGTAGTCAATATTCATGAAAACAATCTGCCTTTTTTTTTAAAAAAAAAAATTTGGTCCTACTCGGATGAAATAAATATCATAGAGGGTGTTTTATTATAAAAAAAATTAAACGGCACTAAATTGTATTTTCTGGAATTGGATTTGAACTTTTAGCAAAACTAAGGAGTTCATGTAATTTACTCTAAATTTCTTAATCCTGATGTGTGTGTTCTCTTTTCCCTTTGCAGCACGAAAGGTTGGCCTTCTCTCTTTTCAGAAAGTTGCTTACTTGATGAATGCGTTGGTAAGAATATGCTGAAATTATAAGGTCGGTGCTACTTTGGTCTGATATTGTTTTCGAAATAAGCAGGTCTAAAAGGTGGGGCTATTGCTGGATTATCTGCTGGAGCAGTAGTTGGCGTTCTCTTATTGGCTGCTTGTATTTGTGTCGTATGTTACCAAAAGAAGGGGGAGGAGGAGGAGCAAAAGTTGGTAACAATTTACTCTTCTCAACCGGGTAGAGGTACATTAGATTTCTACTTCTGCTTTTCTCCTTCCCATTGTGCTTGCTGCTAAAATGTGAGTAAAATGTAGTGTGTCTCAAAGGCTTAAAAGATTTAACAACTCTCCTCTAACTTCTTTGACATTCTGAAGTAAAGCTCAAATAATCTTATAACTGGTCTCATTGCCTTTGTCTCGCTAACTACCTCAAAAGAGAAAAGTTCGCAGTGTGATGCTGTCCGTAGTCAATTTTCTTAAAACATCTCAAATTCTTGCCGCTGTATAGGTCATATTGCTTGTAAAATAATGTCGTCCCTTCAGCTTAAAATCATTGACTGAGGGAGAAACCTGATTGGCAATTCTATTCAATCAGCTCAAGTGCATTCTCTTACTGGTTACCATAAAAGTGAATTGAATGGTGCCCAATATCCAATGCTTTGATGCAAAGTTGAAACTGTTATCTGTCATAGGATGGACAGATGTACAAAACCTTTTCTAAACACTTGGGGCAGAAGTAAAAGAAGACTTCATATTACTCTGACTATTTATAGGTGGACGCAGATCATCCCAGAAAATCTGATTGCTGTGTCACTTTCTGAAATTTCTCAATCCCTCTTTAAATTTGTCTGGGCTAGAATGATTTAGTTCACTGAACTTATTTTCTGTCTGCTGTGTGCACTGAAACTGCACTTCTTCGGCATTCACTCAAAGTATAAAAGCGTCTAGATTTGTAAATTAATTGAGCTTATTTCAATCTCCATGTCAGTCCACCTATTCTTCTTTTGATTTGACTTGAAGTTCACATGTCGACTGAAACTTATGTTATTTAGCTCAATAGTGTATGACCTATTATAGCCTTGCATATGTAACCGCAGCATGCAGCTCAGTTGGCAAACTGAGCTCCATGCGGATGGATATTACCTGCATTTCAAGGGCTCCTTCTACCAGAAGCAACTTGTGGCATCAGACGACCTGAATCCTAAATGGGGACTAGTTGTGGCATCTGATGTCTCACCAACATTAAAAAACCAAAACACAACACAGGCACTTTTTTGCTCAAATTATAGACCAAATAATGATATAAAGCTTATATTTAATCTTTTGTGGCTTAGAGCTTAGAGCATGTATGCTCCGATAAACTCATTTTAGAGCAAGATATGTTCTCTTGGGCATTAAAACCCTAACTTTTGCTTCAAAGTGTCTGTTGTAATCAAAATTAAAAAATGGAGCCTCATTCGGCCCTCAAGGTTAGCAAAATCTTCGTTGTCGTTGTGATTGTAAAATGCTTCCTGCAGTTGCTTATGAAGAAACAAATGGATGAAATGCATGGGAAATGGCGATATTATTAATAATTGAATATAGTAATATTGGATATGGAATTTCAGATTCGAGTGGTCCTCCTGCTTCTGTCGATACCAACAACAATGGCCTGACTGTGGACAAATCAGTGGAGTTCTCATATGAAGAACTAGCTCAAGCCACAAATAACTTCTGTCTCGCAAATAAAATTGGTCAAGGTGGTTTTGGGGCCGTCTACTACGCAGAGCTGAGAGGAGAGGTTTGTAATGTCATGCACTATTAACTTTCATATCATTGCATGCATTTTTGCAAGAAAAGTTGTGTTTCATTAATATACATATGAGGAAAGTTTTATCATTGATTCATCCAAATTTGTCTTACGGAACTCTTTTTCGAAAAGGTATATGTAAAATATTTAAACAAGATGGTTGTAGTCTTGCTCTATTGATGAGTTCTAGCATTTAGCCAAATCTAAAGGTACTACGTGTGGCAGATTTGGAATACAAGTATTATAAGAATGTTGGAGGTTGAGAACTTAAGTAATGGATTATTCATCAATAGAGTAATAGAATTTAGTACGTATGTATCATGTTCGTATTTAAAATGAGGCTTTTCTCTTACTATGCATATTGGCCAAGACAGATAAGCAAAAAACTTGTATTGTACAGATTGTCTGTGTTAACTGTAATTTCTTGGTTATGGAAAAGACAGGTAATCCTTAAGCTCATGCTATAAAGGACTGGAAAGAAGATGAAGAGTCACTTCCTAAGTGTGTCAGTTTAAAGAGCGAGACTGGATAGATTCATCTCTGTATTTTTCCCTTTTCCTATTTCTCTTGCTAAAATATTCTATTATTATAATTGCAGATGCATGTTTTAGCCCAAATATTCAGATCTACACCATTCTTTTTCAGTCGCATTACATATTATACAAGACAATGTCATAGTACTTGTAGGTTATACATGCATTTTTTTATTCTTATTATTGCCATTTTAGTTTTCTTATTCTCTTATTAAAAATCTCATAAAGGGGCTTTCCTTTGCAGAAAGCTGCAATAAAGATGATGGAGTCGCAAAAATCAAAACAGTTTATTGCTGAATTGAAAGTTTTAACACATGTTCATCACCTAAACCTGGTATGATGACTTCTAAACAAAAGTATATATAGTGTTAGTTTTCTTGTGCATATAAATAATAAACATATTGTCTCTATAAAAGCTAAATAAGTTCTCTGGCTTCCCTTGAATGATGTGGTAGATGGTGAGAATTTTTAGCATTAGTCTAGGAATTTGCATGAAGACATCAATCTCATTATTTTGAACTCAGAATATTAGTGATGATATGCTAACCCCTAGAATTTGAAGGTTGTTGTTTGGGGATTGATTGCGATTAATTTTCTTTTATCTCATTAAAGTGAATGATGTAATTATCATGCTTCTTAATTTTATTTTAGAACACGAAAGCATCACACTCAGTTCTCCAAGATTAAGCTATTTTGCTCTCTGCATTACTCTTTTCTGTGGAGTTTCTGATAATTAATTGTTAATTATTTTAGTTTACTACAAATAGTCATTCTCACTTTCTCAGGGAGATTATTGTAGACCGATGGAATCAAAGCTCTGAAATATGTATTAATCAACAGAAGATATAGCTCCACAGAGTTTAAGTCTTATGGAGCACCCCTAAACAAAAAGAAACTACTCAACTGTGCATTCGAGAGGCACAGAAACTTTCCTCACAATTCTCTCATCACAATATCCATACTGTTTCCAATAACCAAACCCCCGTTATATAGTCTCTCTCTCGCTAACTGTCACATGGGAAATACCACAAGTGCCCACGCTCACATGGTTTGCACCCCATATGTGAATGTTATCCTTACACTCAATGTAGACACACTTCAGATCTAGGCTTATTAGTTGGGTCATTTACTTGTAAAAGCATTCAGAACACAGTATAAGCAACTTCTCACTCAGCTCACACAAAAGCTTCTCAACGCATCCGACATTTTCAACTATTAATTTGTTGGGAATCCAATCTATTTTGCATTTTTCCCCCTCGTTCTTTCTCTGTCTATATCCTCCTTCCCTCTGCTTATTTTCTCTGCATATGTATTACTTTGTATCAAAGAGAACCATCTCTGCACCATGAATGTGCTTCACAAAGTTATAAAGCACAACATAGTGTGAAAATTGGGGAATTGATTCTTTACTAAGCTTTGTACCTTCCATATATCGTTTAGTGTGTTGCATTTTTTTTTAATTCTCTTGCCAAACTATCTGCACTGATCAACATCCAACCAATAAGATACCTGCTTCATGCCAATGAGAAAGGATATAAGATGTATTCCAAGTGTTTGGATGGAACTTAACTGCATTGTAAACCTTCTGTGAGTAAATTGTGTTCGACTCAGAAAAGAGCATTAAGGCGTAGTCCACGGTTCACAATTTAAGATACGCCCAACAACAGAACCATAACACAGTCCATTACTCATGCCAACCTTGCCATGATCTCCTGGAAGAAAGTCTTGTAAATGGAAAAAAAAAAAAAGTGAAAAATGTTTGTCTCGGAAGGTGTTTGGATGGAAACCAAATTATGGTTTCAAAAGTGCTTTTACAGTTTATGAAGTAACTATGTGGAGGAGTTTGCCTCGTTTTACGGAAAAAGGCTTCTGAGAAGTACTTTTCAAGGTTGCCAAATACCCCCTCAGACGTAAATTTAATAGCGCTTATAAATCATGTGATTGGTATATAAAATTGTTGAGAGGCTCTTCTTGATTGGTGTAATGACTTCAATTAATTTCTGTGAGTTTATTCGTTTCAATATGCTTATGCGCAGAAGGTAATATTGAAGCTATCTGCCATTGTTGTGGGAAGAAATTTGTCATGTTCTACCTTGTCATTCCTTGTGGTCGTGTTTCTATGTCTGCACGTTCATGATTTCAAGAATCCCATTTTTTAGGCGGTTTCCAATTGTTGTTTAAACCATACAATACTCTGTTTTAAATTCAATCTACTTGTTAAAATTCATGTAGGTACGCTTGATTGGATATTGTGCTAAGAAGGATTCTCTTTTCCTTGTGTATGAATACATCGACAACGGAAACTTAAGCCAACATCTGCGGGATTCAGGTGGGAAAGTATTTCTGGGATAATACATCAATCTAATTATTTACTCCATCCATTTCAGACATATAAGGTTTTTTAATCTAACACGCACTACCAAGAGTAACAATTAGGACTTAAAGATCTCAAATTCTTTTTGCCCTTATTTATCACCAATTTCTAATGGGAGGCGAGTAATTTTGACGTACTCCTGGAGACATTGCAGATAAAAAGACATTAATTACATTTAAAATTGTGTAAAAGACATTACATATTGAAATATAGGACTTCATACAAAATTCCTTATATTTGAAATGGAGAGAGTATTACTTGAACTAGACTCATTGCTATATGCATTGCAAATATTCTGGCAGACGAGATATATATATATGGCTTGTAAATTGTACGGCATGCAATAGATTTTATATCTTATATGATGATCAAGTTGCTTTTGATAGGGAGAGAAACGTTGCCATGGTCTACGCGTTTGCAAATTGCTCTGGATTCTGCCAGAGGTCTTGAATACATTCACGAGCATACACGGCCTGTATATATTCATCGTGACATAAAGCCAGCTAATATATTGATAGATAAAAACTTCTGTGCAAAGGTTGAATTTTTGTTCAATATCTATGGAGACTATCTATATATATTCATCATGACATTGAGTCATTTTAACGAACATCTTTTCAGGTTGCCGATTTTGGGTTGACGAAACTCATTGAAGTGGGAAGTTCATCAATTCCCACTGGTAATATTGCAGGCACATTTGGTTACATGCCACCCGAGTATGGCCACTTCCCCTTTTCTTTTTAGGCGGTAACTAACGTAGGCATATATATTAAGATTTGCAGTTTGTGTGAAAATATGGAGCTCAGAATTTGTTTAGAACTAGATAAGTTCTCTAACTAAAACTCAGAACAATGTCAATAGCATCTGGGGAGCTTAAGTTCACATTTCATTCTAGTGGGCAAATATTACAACTGTTTCAGATTCAAGATCCATCCAATACCCCTGTTGGACTCAAAATACAGAAATATAGCAACAAAAACACAAAATGATAAGATACAAGCACGCAGCTCACTAAAACTGAACCCCAAACTACACCAAACATAGATTATAACATGACACTGACATTTGCAACATGAATTACAGTGCACAACTCCAATATGGATGATGAAGAGCATGACAAACACTGTACCACACAAACCTCATTATAAATGCAAATACTACATCACATGAGCTTCAAGACCAAAATAAGCTTGTCAACTTCCAAGAGGTTGGCTCTCTCCACCTGGAAGCTTACCAAAGATCTTATTTGCCTTCATCCTTCCCCTGTCTTCTTTATTATATATTCCACTTACACTTTAATTCTTTAACTACTCACTCCTGCCCTTCATCATTACTCCCTTATTTTGCTCCTCTATTTTCTATCTCATCTGACTTTCAACCTCTGTGTTTTCCTTTGGACCAACAGTTCCTTATTTTTCCTTCCTTTTTGCCACTCCCATATGCCCCTTTTTGCATGCCCTGGTTGGAAGAGGTTGGGTCTCGTTAGAATCAAAGTCCAAACTGCGGACTTAATACTCTTCCGGTCCTAGATATAAGACCCCTTTTGTAATGTATTCCTAAATATAAGACCAACCCCCTTTGTAGTGTAAAATTACACTACAAAAAAAGTCTTATATTTAGGACAGGAGGAGTACAAAGTTTTAACCATCCCTCTTTTTTATCTTTTGAAATTGATTAGTTTTTGTCACACATATCTTCACAAACATGACTAAAAGGACCACTCACATATATAGCCATAAAGAACACGGCTATGTTCAAGAATGCATATACACACCGTGCAGAAATTATTTGCATCTACCGTTAATAGATGTTTTACGCGTTAGACATGGTTTCTCTTATCTCTGTTTCATTGTTTCTTTTTTTATTTTTTAATAACTTAATTGGATCTGAATATCAAGAAAACTTGTGTTGATGCGAAATTATTGCTTGCCTTGAAATGGTTTTTAGGGAGAAACTTTCAGATTGGTGGATTACCATGCATGTAAGAAGGAAATGAGTTCACTTTTGTGTTCATATATTTGATGACTCCATTCTCCCATCTGCAGATATGCATATGGTAGTGTTTCACCAAAAATCGATGTCTATGCCTTCGGGGTTGTTCTTTATGAACTTATATCTGCTAAAGAAGCTGTGTTGAGGGTTGGTGAAGCCGGTTCTGGAATAACAAAAGGCCTTGTCTCTTTGGTAATTGTTGACTTCCCCATTAAAAATGTTTTATTTGCTTTCTAATATCAACCTAGTCATTTCACTTGAATAATTAAGGGTTATATTTGCTTTGGTTGATGAAGTTTGATGAAGCTCTTGAGCAGCCTAATCCTAAAGAACATCTCCAAAAGCTTATTGATCCTAGGCTTGGAGACCAATATTCAATCGACTCAGTTTACGAGGTAAGAAAATAACTTGAACTGCTTAAACATTTTGAGTTTGGAAGATACTTGCATGTCTGTTGTCAAGTGCTAAGCACTAAAGAGTCTGTATACATCCCAACGTTTTTAACTAAAAAAACTTCATAAAAAAATATGAAAAATTTCAAGAACCTAGATAAGCATGTCATTATGTCAATGAAGAACATGAGTATAGTGCAGTCAGTATGTTTCAAATCCAATACCAATATTCGTGAAAATCTAATCTGTCTATTATGATTTGAGGGTTATTATCCTGCCATGTCATTTACTATGCGTCATTGAATCCAACAACTGGCAACATCTATTTTTTTCATTATTATAGAACCTTGGTTTGCTCGTGCATGTGCTTTTGTCAAAGTACTGAAAGTCAGACCAGTTGTTAACTTGGTTAAAACAATGATTTAAGAGTTTGTAGTCTAATCCTTGACAAGAGTTGTATTTAAGTAAAAAAGACATTAATCTATAAGTGAATGGAATATTAATGTATGAACCATGTATAATCCAATAAAACAGAGTTACTAAAGCTGACGGACTGCTATTTTTTATTTCTTTTACTCAAAATGACATGATTTCAGGCTTAGCAATGGGAGGAAAACAAAAGTGTAAAATGAAATCTAATTGACCCGTCCAAAATTCTCGATCGTAACGGTCAGGAGACTAGTTCATTGGTCTTATCAACGGACCTTGGTTAGGTTTTAATATTTTGTTTCTCATGCTTCTCTCATAAGGCGTTTTAGAAGCCTAGCATCACACCTTTTTTAACTTTGACTACCTGAAATATGATTCAGAGTGTGTGATTCCTTTGATGAATCTAACTACTTGTAAACGGGTGTTTATGGCATTGCAGGTGGCGCAAGTAGCCAAAATGTGCACACAGGGAGACCCAGAGAGACGTCCAAGTATGAGATCTATTGCAGTGTCTCTGATGACACTTTCTTCTACTTCTGTGGAATGGCATATTGCCTCCTTGCAAGAAAATCCAACACTTGCAAATATGATGCCTGGAAGGCACAGTTAGATGTAAAAAATAAATAATCATACGCCAATATTTAAATGTGTGTGTGCGCATTGACACACACAAGTTTTTTAGTAGTCACTTTACAATTGAGTGCAATGAATTGCTAAATAAAAGTCATCAATACCTAGAGAAGAAGTCTCATTCATTTATTTTTACGAGTTTGAAATTAAAATGTTTATTAATTGCTAAACTATCATTTTAAAAATGTGCTGTCTTGGATTGCTAAATAGAAGTAGTTAAAAACAAAAACAAAAGAAAAAAATCACAGCACACTACATTAGTACGCTGGTGGGGTCCCTTGGGATTTTTAGGTTTAATTTATTTTATACTTTTAAATTTATTTTCTAACAATAAATATTTTAGCTTTGAAAGTATTATTTTTCAGTGCAGGCAAAGTCCGTTGGGACGTTTTTCTTTTTATTTTCCTCAATATATAATATGAATTTATAGTAAACCGTATGAATATTAATATCAATACTACTTTTTCTTCTTAATATAAAAGTTAGTTAACTAATTTGAGTAAATTAAAAAAATTAATTAAGTTAATTATTTATAATGAATAGATGTTGTCTTTTTTAAATTATCCTTACTAATCATATGTATTAATTAGAATTATCATCTAATAAAACTTTTAACATGTGTAATGGCTATAAGAACTATTTTGAGGAAAAAAACATAAATATAAGAGACAAAGTGGATTGAGATTTTATATTTAGAACTAAATTAAATGTCAACTTAATTCTTATATTAAGGATCAAAGTAGTATATCTTATAAATTTGTTCCCCTCAGTCCGTTAGTATAGAAATAGCTCAATTCTCTTCTTACTATCTGCGGATGTATTTTCTAACTGTTTTATTTCTTTCTCTCTCTTATGAGGTTTTGTGTTATGTGGTTTTGCACATACTTTATACTCTTCTCATGGAGAGACACATGCAAAGAAATATGACAGAATGAGTCAAACAGAGATAAGAGAACTATACAAGTAGTTAAAAATAAAAAAATTGCGTCAAATGACGTCTTAACAAAATCGCCGTTCACAATATTATTTCATTCTTTAACTTTACTGTATATTTTAATCCGATCCTTTAATTTTAAAAGGTATATTTTTAGGTTTTTAATTTTAAAATTATTAATCTTAAATAATGATTTTTGGTACCCATCATGATTATTTTAAAAATTAAATTTAATATATTAGTATTTAAAATTTTTTATCAGTATTTAATATCTCAATATTATCATTTTGTGTTTATAATTTTAAAGTTAAATGACTAAAAATATATTTTTTAAAATTAAAAAACCAGATTAAAATCTTATGTAAAATTAAAAGAGTAAAACTATATTTTAACCTAGCCTGTAAATAGGGATTTGGAGTATTATCATCTTAGTGTTGTAATTCCCCTCTCAACTCCTTGTAACGTAAAAGGAAAAAAAAGGAATATCTTAACTATTACTCCTCTGGTTTTATTTATAAAGCAGAGGGAAGATTTTTTTTGTTTTTATTTATAAGATACTAAAAGAAATTTTTTATATGAATGTATAATTTTATTTTTTATTTATTATTATATTAAATTTATTTATATAAATTATAATGTATATTAAATGTGGATAAAATTAAAAGGTTGTTAAATTTTGAATAAAAGTTAATAAAATTTAATATATATTTTTTATTTTTATGAAATAAATTGGAAGTGAGCTGTTGGAATGGAAGCGAGTTAGACAAGAATAGTCAAAGCTGGTAAAAAATGATAAGAGTGGTTAAAAAGAAAAAGTCCTCGCGTTGAATGCCGCTGGACGGATATTTGTTGAGTGCACGATCACGAAAGCAACAAATGGAAATGGTTGATGGCACTATAGAGCCATTTATAAATTCGGTTTTTGTGCGAGTTGTGGTAATGTGTCTTACTTAAAAATGGCTTCTTCGTTTAGCGACTCGACGGTCCTGCGGGTTCCTCTCTCTTGATATCTGTGGCATCGTTTTTTACTCCGCCGTGGACGACAAAGGCCACCGCAAGGTTCTTCCTGGCCGGCCGACGACTACGGCACTACCCCTACCCATCCTAAGGACTGCTCTGTTTCTCAAGCGAACGTGGCAATGAAAAACCAAGAGTCTCCTTCACCAATGGAACAGGACTGCAATGAGCATTCCAATCATATGCTTCATGATAGTGCTTGCTGTGATGAGAGTATCAAGAAGAACCACTCTACTATCCCATCTTATCGTGACTCCTTGCTTGGATTAGGTCATAATAGGGTCACAAATGGTACGGACTCTATGAAGGAAGAAGATGATCTGTTGTTCGATGTGCTTGATAAATCTTGGGAGCTACCTCAACCTTCGGAAGAGATTCAAAAACTCATGAATCTCTACCCTGTTGTTCCCAATGAAAAAGAGGAGTACAATGAATTGTGCCGACCTTGGAACACAGCACTAATCATAACCATTTTGGGTAAGAGATTCAACGGTTCTCAGTTGAAGGATCACTTAAGACGCATATGGGGTATTCCCGAGTTTGAGATTATAAATCTCTCCAACAACTATTTCTCTATTCGATTCCCTGACACAGAAAATTGGGCTGTTCACTACAAGAACGTTCTTTTGGAAGGTCCTTGGGTGGTTTTACAACACAGTGTCTGGGTACAAAGCTGGACAGCCTACTTTGATCCTTATCAGAAGCCTCTAAGCCGTGCTGTTACTTGGGTTAGAGTTCCTTACATTCCACTCCATTGTCATAACAAGCATTTTATCTCACGGTTGGGGGAAGGACTCGGGAAAACTTTAAAAGTAGAGTTAAATAGCTTACTGATTACTCAGCTCCCACAGCTAAAGTAAAGAGAGGCAGATTTGCTAGAATTTGTGGTGAGCTTGACCTGCAGAAGAATCTAGTTCCCCGACTCATTGCTGCAAATAATATCTTCAATGTTGAGTATGAAGGATTGAGATTAATTTGCCTTGCTTGTGGTAGATATGGTCATCGCAAAGAAAGCTGCCCCTAGTGCTACAGGAATGAAGAGAGCTCGTGTTTTGAAGGTGATTAAGTTTTCTTTTTTTGGCAAAAACGAGTAAGTTGTTCGAACCATGTGAATTTGTGCAGGTGATTGACTCATTTCAGGTACTCCGGAAAATGCACATAACGGTGGGTATAGTGTTTTGCTTGGAAATTGGTTGAGGTGTTGAGCATCAAAAGCAAACTCAACCCTTACAATTATAAGCATTTTGATTTTGAATTCGGACTCAAGAATCAATGGTTACATCCTAGATTGAGATTTGATATTGATCCAGTAAATGCAATGAAGTATGTAGTGTGTGTGTGTGTGTGTGTGTGTGTATGTATTTAGTTAGCCGTATAGTTTGTTGGTTATCTAAGTGCTTTTGGTTGTTTTGTGATGAGTTTGAACATCAACTAATTTGCATTGTAAGTTATTGATATGGTTCTGATACTTTGGAGATTAATTAGTTTCTACTGCACTCTGTTTTGAATACCTAAATAAGTCGCTTTTCCCCCCTGTTTTTGGTTTTAGATTATTGAATTACTGTTATGGAATAAAGTACAGCTGAGGAAAGATTGAAAGATGATATGGCTATTGGATAGTTGTTTATAAAGTTTTGGGCCATTGTAGTTTTGTAATATTGGTTTTAGAGTTTAATAATTGCAATACCAATATGCATTAGCTAGAAGAAGGATTTCGTCGCTAGCAATTACACATTTTGCAGTAATGGATTACTAAATTTCAATGTATTTTTTTGTGGGACAAGATCTTTGTTTTCTATTTTTGCTTTCTTCCATTTAGTTTCATCATTCCTTAATGATTTTTACATTAAGCATCAACTCAAAAGCTTGATTTTTATGACTTCAGATGATTTTATAGGCCTCACACCAGTGTCCTTCATGTTTGCTGTCTTCAGGTGATTTAATAGGCAAATATACCTTATCTCATCCAACATGTCAAATAGCACATGTTGTTATCACACAGTTTTTATTTGGGTCTGATAGAAATTATTCAAATGTCATCATATAATATTTTACAAATATGTTCAGCAATCAGCATTAACTCTTTGGGCTACCTCACTGTGTCCATGACTTGCTTGTTATCATTCCTCATTCTTGTAACAGCTTAAATGCTATAACTTGATGTTTGGAGTTACCTGCAATTGATATGCATGAGAGGTAGCTTTGTTGGATCTCATGGTGGATTGATTTTCTCCATTGCTGTTCTCTTGTTTAAACCAAGCCATCGTATGAGTGGTGAAGATGGTCTGCAGCTGATGTGCTTGGGTGGTACTCTTATGTCATGATCGTTTCTGTTATTTTTCTTTCTTTGCGTCTTGATCCGTCTTTCATAGGCTTGTTATTCATTTGTTACTCCTCCCGTCCTTAATATAAGATCTATTTAACTAATTTGATTAGATTAAGGAAGTTTGGTAAGTTAGTTAATTATAAGAAATATGACACGTTTTTCCTAAAACACTATAATTATCTTTCTTAATATCGCATCTCCCTCTTCTACTTGATTGTGGTTAAGGAAGTATCTAGAAAGATAATTTAGAAAAAATTGATAAATATGATAAATGGGTCTTATATTTATAATCAAAATCAACTTAACAATTGGATCTTATATTAAGGACCGGAGGAGTATTAAATATGGGTGATATTGGTTTTTTTTTTCCAAATATTTTTGGTACAACATTGCTCTTTCACAAAAACTTTCGAATAAAAATGATCCCAAAAAAAAAAAAACACTCATGTCCCTGTGGCATCGTATGTGGCATAACGTGGCATGTGTCTTCTTCGGCTATTGATGAAGTTGGACGATATTGTTTCTATTTTAATGCTTATTCGACAACATTGAAGCTACAATTTTTTTTAGATACCTATAAATCCTATGTGAAAATTTCCAAAGCAGAATTGAATCTTATCTCTTTGAATTAATTATGTTCTTAAACAAACGGGTCTTCAGCTTGCTTTTATACAACTTTTTAAGATGATAAAATTGTTTGTTATTAATCTCTGCCCAAAGTAATAAAAACTAGTTGACTTATTGGTAATATATGAACCTGGCTGGTTTTTTAGTTGTACAATGTCTTTTTTTTTTTTTTTGGAAAAAATCTATAATAAAGATGCTTGATCTCAAATGAAAATTATCATCCTT